GCGTTTAATGCAAGAAATCTGTAAAATGACTTTAAGTAAAAAAGGTGTTCGAGGGATAAAAACTTGAAGATAAAGGCATGGAATGTATAACAGTTTCTGAAATGTAAAGTATTTGAAATGGAAAGAAAGCATTTAAATGTAAGGCATCAGTGAAAAGATTTCGAATAAAAAGACTTTAGATGCAAAAACTTGTAAATGGTATTGATATAAAGATAAGGAAAGTACTGGAAATGATAAAGGGTTTTCATTAAATCATAAACATGTGGTGCTATCATACGTACATTGCTCTTGCATTCGTTTCCCTAGCCATGTGGTAATTTGAATGTTTACTGAGTTTTTTGTACAAATAGATATGACACACCAAATCCTAATGCTAAGACTTCTATTTATACTACTTCGACCATAACGGTCTTACTATAAGATTCTGCCACGTTCAGAACATGCAGAGCAATGCCTCTCTCTTGCTTCCACGTGTCTTCGAATGCTCCAGCGCATATATTTCAAATTTCGAACATCCCGCTTGTATTTGAATTTCAAATGTTTTGGCACTTCTTCGCTTCGAACGCACTTCTTAGACACAGCCTTGTTGTCATTTCGAGACTTCTTTGGATATATTCTTATAATTGTCACTCGAAGCTCCAAGCTTTGACATGCCCATTCGAAGCACTGCTTCTATCATGACGTTTTGTTTCATTTCAATCGAAATGTTCCATTTACTTTGCTTCTAATAATACTATCAAAATCTTCAGCCAACACTAACGCAGTGTTTATAAAATTATATTCTTGTTAGAACAGTAGCACATATATATTCTTGTTAGAAAACACTACTTTCCTACGTCTGTGACTATACAGTATCTATAGTTCCCTTTATTTATATCTTGTGAATTGTATATAGATTACAGTGTTACAAGCCATATATATAATGTGAGGTTTTAGTTTATCTAAAATCTCAATCCCTAATTTCCTAATCTCTACTCATAATCATCTCAACTATATGAGTTATAACTCTCAACAATCTATAGTTATGTCAACTATTCATAATTATCTCAACAATATGAGTTATACTTTCAACAATCCATAATTATCTTAACAACTCATAATTATCTCAACAATATGAGTCATATTCAACAATCTTCACCTTGGCGAATATCAAACCCCGATGAAGACTTCCTGCATAATAATTCATCCTAGAAACTAGGGAGGTACACCTCCTACTTAACATTAAAAAACATGTAACAAGTTCAAAGAGTGTTTGAACTTGTCACTAGTGACTGGCTTGGTCAACATATCAACTGCATTCTCTAACGTGTGAACATTTTGAAGTAATATCTGTCTGGACGCCAACAACTCCCTGATCTTGTGGAACCTCACATCAATATGCTTGATCCTAGAATGATACACCTAATTGTTTGCAAAATAGATAGTACTCTAAATATCACAATGCAACTGAACTCCACCTTGATCAACACTTAACTCTTTCATTAACCTTATAAGCATCAATGCTTCCTTGGCAGCTTTAGCTAAGGCCATGTATTCTACCTCAGTTTTAGACATATCTACTATAGATTGAATTAATGTTTTTCATCATATAGGTTCCCCCGTAAGAGTAAAGACATACATATTGTAGACCTCCTTTCATCCAGATCACATGCATAGTCAAAATTCACATATCTCACAACTCATGGAACACCGTACTCCATGTTGAACATGATACCATAATCCATTGTACCCTTCAAGTATCTTAGAATCCACTTAACTGCTTTTGAATGCTGCTTCTTTGGATTTGACATGAACTTGCACACTCGGCTAACTGCTTGTTCCAAATCTGGTCTAGTGCAAACTATAACATATATCAAATAACCAACTACACTGGCATAAGGAATCTTATGCATACCTTCAATCTTTATGTTTGTCTTTGGACATTGTTCTAAAGAGAGCTTAAAATGACTCGTCAATGGAGTATTTACAGGCGTTTCTTTTCTCATGTCAAATCTACTCAAAACACCATCAACATAGCTTTTGTGAGACAACCATAATTTATTAGCTCCTCTGTCCATGTGTTTTTCCATACCGAGAATCTTCTTTGCAGCACCATGATCTTTCATATCAAACTCCTTACAAAATTTGTTCTCCAACTCATATATATCATGTAAATAGTTGACATCAATCAATATGTCATCAACATAAAGTAACAGAAAAACAAAAAAGTCATCATCAAGGCTCCTCACATAAACACATTTATCATAATTACACCGTGTATAGTCAATTTGGAGCATCTATGAATTAAACTGCTTGTACCACTGCCATAAAGACTATTTCAATCCATACAAATACCTCTTTAATTTGTAAAAAAAGTCAGCCACGTTGTTAGCTGGATTTTTTGATGTATTGCCATTTCTTCAAGGTGATCAGGGGAACATTGAAATAAGCTTGGTAGTTTAGTTGTTCTCCGACAACATCTATTAAAGGAGTTTTTCAACAGCCAAGTGTTGAGGTTCCTGCATATTCATTGTTGTTTTGGGACTTAGTGAATTTTAAGATTTGGTTGTCGCACCATGAAAAAATACAGAGTCACCACCGAACTTTATTTATTTCGAAGAAAGAAAATATCAGAAAAAGACCCCCAAAAGGAAGGATAATGTGGTCAATGCAACCAAGAGAAGGGTACATAAGTCAGTTATGCAAGGGAAAGGTATTAACACCCCTCACATATGTTGTACTCAACGGGATCCACTTCAGTTGTTTGTTTCTAAGAGTGTGTTATCTAAAACTTACTTGCTAAGGAATACATGAATGGATTATTGGAAAAAAGAAAAGATTTTTATTATTGAGTTCGTTGAGGTCTTGCAACCCAGTGCCTGCGTATCCTCATAGTGGAATGAAGAAATCAGAACTCCGTAGTTCTTTTAAAAAGTGTTGGTTTGTTTGGTGTTTTTTAGTGGACAATGTTAACATTCACACTCTAACATTAAGTGTTGTTACCCATTGTATGGAGACTCATGCGTTATCTGCTAGCGGTAGAACGGAAATAACATGCCCTTTCTAAAAAGGTTTTAAAGGGAAAATCCCAAAGGCAAAAAGATATTTGATTTGTTGAAAATGTTTTATTGGGGGATGGTAGTAAGTGGCTCCCAATACAAGGATACTTAGCTACTTCTCCACCTTAAGTTTTGAAAGTGTTCGTGAGTTGAATAACACCAAAGTCTATGAATGGAAGAAAAACAAAGTTAGAAATACACTGCCTTATTCTCTTCTATTACTTAAGGCTCAATGACACACGTTTCGCTTCTCAATTATTAAGTGTTTTTGAGTTTTTATTAAAAAAAAAAAGATTTTTGTCTTTTAAAGGAAAAGAAACACTACGCAAAAGAGAAAAGCAAAGGAAAACTAGAAACCCTAATGTTATCATGCTTTGATGGACTTAAGATTGATTTTGAGAAAAATTCTACTTAAGTGTTATCATGCTTGGATAAACCCAAATGTCTAACTTAACTCTATTTAATCAAAGATTAAAATTGAATTAAAGAACCTAAGAGATCATGAATTAACACACAAGAAAGTAAACAAATCTGAAGCACATGTATCTCAATCATCAAGCATCATCTAAAAAATTCATACCCAAAACATCAAGAAGCATTAAGAACAAGGCAAAGGTTTTTTGAGTCAAAACATCAACAAGAAGAAATGAAAATAAAATCAAGATATTAAAAAACTAAAATAAAACTCCTAAAATTTGTCAAGCATCTAATTTTTTTTAATCGTTTTTAATATAAAAAATCATGAAAAGAACAATTATTACAAAAACAATTAAAAAAGAAAATGAAATGAGAAAGAGAGGGAGGTGTGGCGCAGGCAGCAGTGTTTGGTAAGAAACTCTGTCCAAGGCCCAATGTGATAGTCAGGAGCAGTTTTTTTTGCTCACAAGGCAAATAGTTGTATAAAAAAAGGCCACGGGCCAGGCAACCAGCAATAAGGCCAAACAAAAATCATCACCAGTTCTAAATCAATTCAGCATTATTATATTTTTTGAATTAAAATAAATAATTAAAAAAAGAAAAGAAAATATGAAAAGCATAGGAACGATGTCGTTTGGGCTTGGTTCTAGGGTTACATGCTTGTGGCTATTCAACTACTTTCAAAGCAGAAAAAACTCTTCCCTCTCTCTCATGTAGCGTGGTTCACCTTTCTCTCTTCTTTCCACTTCAATCTCATCTTCTTCGATTAACTTCTCAGATTTGTCGCACACGACCGTGAACAATCATCTCCGCGTCTCCATGTCTTCGTTCATCTTCAATTCATTCAGTGATGCAACAAAGTGTTGTTGTTGTAGATGCAGTGATGTTCGGAGATGATGATGGAGGTTGATGAGAGTGAAACGATTGCAGTTGTGAAGGTTGAAGCAGAAGGTTATGGTGATGGTGATGGTGCGGTTTTAGAGAGAGTGCAGAGAGAAATTCTGATTTTCTGCAGAGTTTTGATTGTGGTGATTTTTCGAAAGTTGAAGAATGAGCTTGAATGAAGGAGAAGTTGGCTTTTATATGCAGTTGAGTTAGTTACAGATGAAGAAGATCATAACCATTGGATCAAGGAGAACTTGTTATGAATCAATGGTGAGATTAGAGTTAGTTGTAGGACTTGAAATTCTGCTACGGTTAGGGTTATGAGTTGGCATTGTTTGTTGATTAAATATGAGTTCCTTTCCATTTCCTGCAGGTGAAACCGTGAGTGACATTATAAGTTTGGTGTTGAAGTTTAGCTTGAATCAGTTTTCCCATTGAGCTGGCAGGTCTGAACTAGGGAGATTAGTTAGCTTTGGCTTTTAAATCTGGTTTTTATGATGATGATTAGTAGGTTATTTTAATGTTTCTTCTGCAGGGCTATATGTATTGTTCCGGGTTTTTTCTCTGAACTGGTTTACGGAATGTAATGCTGCCATGAACTGGTTTAAAGTGGATTTATGTAGCTGAACTGGTTTATTGTTTTTGATTGATGCAGGTTGGTTATTTTTGAGTTGTCAACAAGTTCATTGTGTTAGTTGATGACATGAAGGGCTTGATGTAAGTGTAGGGCTGTTTCCATGAATGTTTCTTGGTGGTGATGGTTTGTAATGACGGCATGACTATGGAAGGAAGTATGAAGATTGAAGCTTGGTCATGGCATGATGTTTTGACATGAAGAGTTAGGTTTAGGCTTAGGATTTTTTTAATGTATGTTCTTTTGGTATGATGTAAAATATTTGTAATGGTGTAATGGTTATTGGAATGAAACAATGTATATTTACGATATGTTAATCTTGAATAAAATTCATGGATGGACCTTTGAATGAATAATGATGAACCTTGTTGGAAATCTTGAATGTCTTGAGTTATACTTGTATGATCTTGAATAATTCCTTGAATAAATAATGAACATAGTGATGTGTGCCTTTGTTACTTGAACTCCAAGAAAATCCACATAACCAATCTTAACATGTTACCCCAACTTTGATCCAATCAACTACCTTTGACATTTTTAACATCTTGAATTCAAATCCAAATCACACTTGCATTCTCAATGAACCCCTAACTTTAATCTCACATCCATCTTAATTTGTATTACAAGCAACAATAAATAAGCAACTAAGAGGAAAACAATTGTCTTGATCATAATGATTCCACCATTTCACTTCTTGTACCATGACCCAATATTTTGTAATTCAATCCACAAGATATCTTGACTTGATGACCAATGAGATAACAATGCCTTGAGGAAACTTCGAAAGACTTGAATCATAGAAGGAAACATGGTCACCAAGATGTTCTTGACATGAAACTCTAAGCAGATGAATCTTAGATGAATATTAACAAGCCCAAACATGATGAGGTGTAAATCCTAATCCTCTTGCTTTCAATGCACATGAAGAAAGTAAGCTAAGATGATAAAATGGGCCAGACCCTAAGCACACCATATGAAACCCTGGACCTTGAGGTATCTTGATGAAGAAGCTTGATGAACTTTGATAAAGAAGATGCTCAAGACAAATAGGAATACAAAACCCTAATTTCACAAACCATGATTGATGAATAAACCATTTGATTAAAGCTTAAGTGAAGATGAAAGCTTCAAAGCATAAAGAAACCCTAACTTCAAAGAGCATTGATCCCATGACAAGTTAATGATGCATGGTGAGTTAAATGAACTAATGATAGTAATGCATATGCGGAGAACAAAATGCACAAGCCAGACGATTTAGATAAAGGGTGGGAAAAATTTAGAGTATGACATTTGTTTAGACGTTATTTTGACCGCGAAAGTTTGAAATTCAAAAGGTAGGATGGAGTAACTGTTTTTTTTGCCTTATCCATTTCTAAAGATGCGTCGAATCAAATCGAAGATGAGATACATGCAACTGGCAAAGTGTCGTATTTCTAAAGAGAAGGTCATCTGAAACGATTATTTTAGATTTTAGTATATAAAGGGGGTTCTAGGTGTTAGATTTCATTGTTCAATTGTATACAAAACTCATATTACTCAAAGTATCTAGAGAATTGAGAAAAAAATCTAAATTGAGTGAAATGTACGTATGAAACACCATTTTCATTTAATGGAAATTCATGTATTTTAAGTTATTTTCCTGCACTTTTATCATTGTGTCGAACTCTTTTATTCTTATATTCCCCCTACCAATCATTTCCATATTTTGTTGACGTTTCGACTCATATCGAAATCATTATTATACCTGTCATAAATAACTTAAAATTTTTTATATACGTATGTCCTAGGATCAATCTAGTCGATCCTGTAAGCAACCAAACTATCATTTGGAGGACTAGCAGTTATTTACGAAATTTCACAATAAACAAATTGGCACGCCTAGTGGGACCCAGTGTGTTATAAGTTTTTTACATTGTTTCTAAAAGTTGTGCATGTTTTTCATTTATGAAACTTTTCAAATTCATGAGTGTGCAACGTGATAGTTCCAAAGAGGCAATACGTTAAGAGAATGGTGAACCCTAGGAATAACAATAATGGAAACAACCTTCCATTATTATGGGAAAAGGCACAATTGCTGCGAATTCGACTGAACCAACGACTTTCACAGCCAATACAATGACAATACCATCACTGGAACAAAGTGGGCCAATATTATCCCCACCAATAACCTAGAGTCATCCTATGACTCATAGAACATCAGGGGAAAATGACTTTAGGACTTATATGCCCAGTTTCACAATGCCTTTGAATGGTCATGAACAAATTTATGGAATGCCCACTTCGATAATGGCAAGTTTACATAATAATTCATCAACGTATGCAGACCCAACGACAACCATGTATTATCCATTACAAGGGTCGGGTTCGACCGTAAATAACTTTGGTCGAAATACCCAGTCTTTGGGAATGGTCTTACCATCCCAAGCAATGCCTACATTAACTACGAGTTTGGTGAATGCTTTAAGGCAGCGAATGGATGAAAGTTACCATAAATGGTGAATCTTCTTACTCGGCAAATTGGTATTGTATTCAACTCTTTGATATAGAGTATGACACAAAGCAAATAGTAATTAGCGACTCAGATTACATGAATTACAAATTTCTTTGTGTCCATTCGAGTGCGGGTTTAACTAGTAGTGCAACCACAACCTGTTAGACCTACCCGAAACAAGGAAACAATCCTTAAGGAAACTTTTAATTAGTGTATGGTCAAACAACAAACTACCAAAGTGGTCGAACAACAGATTCCTAGAGTGGTTGAACAACAAATTCATAGAATGGTGGAACAACCAATACCTAAAGAAGTTGAACGATCGCGAGTCATTTTGGTTAATCGATACCATGATGCAGACCAAGTGGTCCAACGAGTTCGACAATATGACATAGTTGTAGAAAATAATCTTGCTGCCATGTTCAAAAGGATAATGGTGCGAAATGGGATGAATGTGAGCCTTCGTAGGTCAAACTATATTTTCCCACTATCAGAGTATGTCTTACAGATAGAACTACCCAGGGGATGGAAAGTCCCAAAATTTACTAAGTTTTCTGGCGATATGAGTGAATCTATTGTCGAACACATAGCCAGGTATTTGATTGAGGCAGGAGACATCAATAATAATGAGAATTTAAGGATGAGGTATTTCCCTAGTTCTCTCACAAAGAATGCTTTTATTTGGTTCACAATACATCATGCGAATTCCATCCATGATTGGACTCATTTGGAAAGATTGTTCCATGAGCAATTTTACATGGGACAATCGAAGATTAGCCTAAAAGAATTGGCTATTATTAAACGCGAGTTTACTGAGCAATATAATATTATTTAAATAGATTCTGACTCTTGGAGGCAAGGTGTTTTACACAAGTTCCTAAATATAAGTTAGTCGAAATGGCTACCGGAGGACTGGATTACTCCATTAGAAAGAAATTAAATAGAGAGTGACAAGTGGAACACCTTAAGGTAGAAATTTCCTGAGAAAGTAAGAATAATAGGAAAGATAGAATAACCTATGTCTACCTAGATGAGAATGATCACAAATCTAATATCGAAGATAATGGGGTCGATGAACGAGGTTAATTTGGAAGATTTGAAGCAAAGGCCACCTTATGTATGTAAAGTACTTGCACCTTAAAATGAAAAAATCCCTTCGAACTAGAAAAGAACGATAAGTTTCCTAAAAGAACATTCACTTTCGATGTGACGAAGTGCGATGAAATTTTTGACTTATTTGTCAAAGATGGCCAAATCATAGTGCCACATGGTTCTAAAACTCCATCGTTAGAACAACGGAAGAAGAGAGGATTTTGTAAATACCATAATTTGTTGGGCCATAAAACCTCACAGTGTTTTCTTTTTAGGGATGTTGTGCAGAATGCAATCAAAGATAGAAGTCTCGGGTTTTGAGAGAAGGCGAAGGCCCAGATGAAGATTGACTCTGACCCTCTGCAATTGGGAGATGCCCATTACACTGAGCTCGATGATGTTAACATGATTGAGGCTACTGAAGGTCTCAACAAAAGTTGCTCCATGGCTAAGGTTACTGAGGATCTTAGTGTTGAATTTCAGAAAGTTGAGATTGTTGATGATCTTAACTTTGAGGTTAATACGGTCGAAATAACGTCTAAACCAAATCTTAAAATCCACTAAGTTCCAAAACAACAATGCATATGCAGGAACCTCAACACTTGGTTGTCGAAAAACTCATTTAACAGATGTTATCGAAGAAAAACTAAACTATCCAAGCTTATTTCAATGCTCCCATGATCACCTTGAAGAAATGAAAATACGTCGAAAAATCCAGCTGACAAATTACCCCCAAAAAATGTCATTTTTGACTAAAGGAAAAAAGGAACATTTTTTGAACAATTTCGACATCTCATGATTATCATTATTCTGACGTCATAGCCATCATGGCCACTTTACCCAGACGTCTTCTTGAGACGTGCAACAGCTCTGAACAACAATGATAGCTCCTACTCCCTAGGAGAAACATGGCCCCTCATAAAACCAACTGTCATATTTCACTTTTAGATGATTAACACGTGTCCCACGATCTCCAATCACCTGTCACTCGTAGTAACTGAACAATTTCTTCAATCTTCACTATAAATACTTCTTTACCTTTTATTTTATTCTTATCTTCTCCCTACAAATCATTTTCATATTTTGTTGAAGTTTCAATTCATATCGAAATCTTCATTATACCAGTCATAAATAACTTAGAAAATTTTATACACATATGTCCTAGGATCAATCTAGTCGATCCTGCAAGCAACTAAACTATCAATTGAAGGACTAGAGGTTGTTTATGAAATTTAACAGTAAACAAATTGGGACTCCCAGTGAGAAGAAGCAGATGAGGGTTTCTTACCCCAAGACTGATGAGAATTTGGTCGAGTTCATCCACCACTACCAAAGGAAAAGGTCTGAAGTGATGTTATGCCCTAGGTGCAATTCCGTGTTCGACAAGAAAGCCGCTGAGAATTTGGAGAGAGTTCAGATGTCCAGCCAAAGAGGAAATTGGAAAAATGCCAAGGATCTGTTTACTTTTGAGAAGAGGGGGATTCTCCGCAAGCACCAACAAAGGGCCCTAAATCTACAGGGAAATATGCCTTCTACTTTCAAGCCAATAGCTAATTCCCCAAAAGGAAAGTGGATAAGGCCCGACGAGTAAGGAAATAAAGGCCAGGAAAAGTGGCATAGTTTTGAAGTCTGCAGGGGATCTTCAATATTCTATTACAAGAAGTTTCAGGTGTCTAGGAAACAAACATACGAGCCCTACAATTACAAAGGTAAAAACCCTATGTCGAGGTCTCAATGGAGGAGATGTCAAAGGAGACAGAAAGTTGAGAGTGAGGATTCTAAAAAATAAATGGTGAAATTAAGTAGCAATCAACCCCAATCCAAAGCCAAGATTTAGGAAAAGAAATCGGTGGGGCGAAA